CCATCAGGTTCTGCTGCAGAGTATTCAAGTCCAATCGCGGAGGGCCCGCACCTGCGCCGCATACATTACGTGAAGGAGACGCTCGTTCGATTCGGGCTTGGACCGCGGGATGAAAGATGGGATTTACTTCTTCCTGTATGCGCCTCAGCGTCGATGGCCTTACCTAGAATACGATTTCGTTCAAGTCAATTCTCAGCACGGGGATCTAGAATCTACTAGCTCGCGTCGCTTCTTTGAACACTAGCATTTTCTCCTCATCTCCCCACCATCCCCCAGATGTTTTTTTTCTAGAGCTGAAGGTTTGCAATTGATAGTGTCTCCTCTCTGCGGTGGCCGGTTCAGATACGTGGGGCACATACGCACGCTTGAATGGTTTGAATCGAATGAAATAAACAGGTTTATTCTTCGCACGATTTCTGACACATCACCCCGCGTCATCCATCGCCCACGTGGAGAAGTGTGCGGCCGCTTACTTCACGCCCACCACCACCATCTCGTTTGCCGTCTCCTCGCACGCCGCTCATCCCGCTCATCCAAGCCCCTTGCGCCTAAAACTAGCATCTCGACCGCGCTCGAGAGCTTTTCTGCCGAGATCATGCGCGCGTTGCCAGTGACACTCCCGCGGCGGCGGCGCTCTCCTTCAAGTTCCGAGTCAGCGAGTCGTGCGGTTCCCTCTAGGCGAGGATGAACCAGGCCGCCCTTTCATGTTATCCTCTAAGATAAGGAGGCGCATTTCCGCGCGGTACCAAGAGTGACCCTCCCGTGCGCGACGCCACCGTGCGGATGACCCGCCGCAGCGCTGTATGGCGATCGCAAGCGAATTTCATGGTGCGTGCTGTCGTTTCTTAGCTGGATTCCTCTCCGCCTTCTCTTCTCTCCGCCGTGTGCTCTAGCTCATCACGGCCCTCCTCTGCATCTCGCTCAGATGTGTCTCCCCACCGCACACTCCTCGCCACTTCGCGCTCCGTGCGTTTCGCATCTAGCTCTGGCAGCTTGCGGGCGCGTATGATTTCGCCCCGCGCACGCTCCGTGCGCACTGCATCGCCCTCCACTGGCATGGCGGCGTTCTCCCCCAACTATCTTCCCGGCGTCCGTCTACCTTGCGCATTCCCCTCCCGCGCGTTGATACTGACCACCTTGACTAAGGGTATCCACAGGGGAACAAGCCGTCGTCGATTAGTGGACGGTCATACTCGAAATGCCACTACCACCTGGTTCCGCATCCGAGGAAGCCGGGGGTTCGATTCCCCTCGACCGTATTCTCTGTGTCTCCACTTCTTTTTTTTTTTTTTGCTTTAAGTGTGTCTTTCGCTTCCACTTGAATTCCGGGACTCTCGCGAAGCTGTAGTTGACCAGATATTGATTCTCTGCATGGAACTTACGACGCCCGCTGTGCTTGGTAGTGCATCTCCTTAAATTCACTGATAAACCGACGGTCATCTGAATACTCCCCAGGACGAATTAGTGTTAGGACGCTTCAATATTGCCTCTCTATCCGCCAATAATCAAGATGTGTTCGCCCACCTTAGGCTGGTCATTGATCCTTCTAGCATATTCCCCACCAATGCTTCGCCCAAGGAAAGTTCCGAGCATATCGCACACTGTGCGTGTCATCTTGAAAGATATTCACCTATTAACGCTCTACACAGGAGTGAGGAGTGGTCCGCACACGCTTCCAGTGTTGCAGAACTTCCGAGAGTCGATATGCAGGCGACGCCCGTTCGATTCGGGCTGGGATCATACCTCGGTTGCCCCGGTTTTTGTTGTCTGCGTCTGCATCTATCATCTCCGCTTCCGTGCATTCGCTTTCTCACTCCCCGGAGAGGATGGGCCTCGCCCCGCGTCGGCGTCCTTTCTAGCATTTTTGAGGGGAATTAGGATTTGATCAGCGCTGGAGCTGGACCGCAGCAATACGTATGCAGCCGCCTTGAATGAATGTCCCAAATTCATACATCTAATCAGGGTCATTTGCAGAATAATATGGTCCAATTGCGGAGTGGCCCGCACCTGTGTCGTGTGCCAGTTCGCAAAATTCCGCGCAGGAGACGCCCGTTCGATTCGGGCTTGGACCGTGTGTGGTTGCCACAGGATCTTTCTACTTTTGCATGAATATTGGAATTGCAAGTGGAAGGAGACTCCTTGATTCTGCACTCGGCTTGGCCGCTGGTTGCCTTCTGTACGCCTTTGTGTTTCGAGACGAGCTATACATGTATGTTTCGGTAGACGTATTCGATCAGCGCCGAATCGGTCGGTATCGACTTCCTCCCTAGGCTCGAATCCAGCCTGTCTATGAGAGCAAGCTCGGTCTCTTGACACTTTTCATAGACAGACGGTCACCGGTCTACTTCCTCCCCTTCGATGACTGGTTCGAGGTAATGTTTCTGAATCCGCAATATTTACCTCCGTGAATTAGGCTTTTATCCCCGGGCTCCGCTATGCCTCCCACCGTGTCTGCGCTCTTTCGAGCATTTTCGAGGTGGGGTCTCTATTCAATCGTCGCGACCATCGCTCGTATCTGATTAGCGCTGAATATGGTGTGCATCCGCCTCGAATGACTGTTCAAAAATTCACGAATCGAACCAGGAGCAAGGTCCAATTGCGGAATGGCCCGGACCTGCATCACGCTGTATCTCCCCGAATCTCCGTGTCAGCGGCGCCTGTTCGATCCGGGCCCGGACCGTGCATGTTTCGGATGTTTGTTCTTTTGCATGAATGTTCGCATTGCAACCGCAAGTAGCCTGCTTGATTCTACCTGCGTACCACTCATCAAGAAGGGCTTCACCGCTCGTTGCCTTCTTTGTGCTCTGAGGTGAGCTATGTGATATTTGGACCCTCCTCCCCCGCTCTTAATCTATCCATGCTTTTAGGCTCTCACAGTATGCAGGTCCCATTGCGATGTGGCCCGCATCTGGTTCACATTCGGCTGTTGGGCGAGTGCATCTTGTGCAGACGACGATGTTTTTCTCTGCGTCTGCATCCACAATCTTAGCGTTTGCAAATTAGGCTTGATCCCCCCGGTCGGGTAATAGTCCTGGCGCTTCATTCCACCGAAGCATTTTGAGGTGGGTCCTTTTGGCCGTCGCGATAATAATCTGTATCCAATCAGCGCTGAATCTGAAACTTTTTTTTTTTTTTTTTTGTGGGGTGTTTGGAGTAACAAAGGGAAGTCTGCTGAAGGATTCTAAGTTTGTCCGTCTGTGTGGCTGGTTTTGAGCCAGTCCTGAATCTGAAACTTAGCGATCTGTATGCATCCGTGTTGAAATAACTGTTCAAAATTCATGAATCTAACCATGGTCATTTGCAGAGTAGCAAGGTCCAATCGTGGAGAGGTCCGCACTTGCATCGATATCGTGAAAATTCTAAATGCAGGGCACGCCCGTTCGATGGGGCTTGAACTGTGGGTAATCCCTCTTGCTGTCGTTTTTGTTTACTTGAAGTCATACTATGCTACGCCTCGCAAATGCTCGCGCCTGCTCCATGGCGCCGTACGCCTGTGTCAGGAGTCTAATTTCATTCCATCCCAGTCGCAGCCCAAACAACCCGGATCAAGTCAGCGTGAGCATTTTCCACTTGCAGCGTTGCCGTAGGTCCGTGGGTGCATCTTTCGTCCTTCGTCCTGTACTCTATTCGGTGTGCTAACCCCACCAGCCTGCAGGGCGCTGATGTGCACTGTTGCTTGCCCGTGTTGTCCACCGTCGCGCCACACGCTCCGCCATGCACGCCGCTCCACGCCCCGTGCGACGCTCTCGCACCGCGCCTCTCGGGTCGCCCTGCGGGCCTGATTCCTGCGCGCGACCATTAGGAATGCGCTCGCCGCACCTCCCTTTCCGCCCGCCGTGCACGTAGTCTGTAGTTTACCGCGTGGGGAATGATTGGTGGTGGGGGTTATTACTGTCATTTGCATAAGTCCGTGAAAACACGAAAAAAAATCGCGCAGTCACGTGTCAATTAACTCAGGTCTCACCATGCTTCGGGGATGCTTAAGATGTCAAGGGTGGATGAATCGAGTATATTTTGTCATGTCAGGACATCAATATATCCCCTTCGGCCGTCCATCACTGCTATATTGTTCTGGGACATCAATCGTCAATCGATGTCCGAAGACCTTGCTGACCTGCAATCAATGTAATAGTTATTGTGGAAACCTCCTCGGGAGTTCCTCTTCTGGCATTGACGTGACCAGAATTTTTCTCGTGTTTTCACGGACTTATGCAAATGACAGTACGTAAAGTGCGGAGTTTGAAGTTGTTCCCACGCTAGTCTCAACTGTTCCATTGTGTTCTCGCAACGATCTCCACCTTTAAACGCATCGTCTGTAGTACGTGCCAGCTTGCAGGGTACTTGAGGGCTTGAGTATAGTTGAGAAGGGATTGCGAGCGCCGAGGGGGCAGTCTTGAAGGACTTGGCAGATACACTTGCAGGGCTTGAAGGCGGAGCTTTAGGGCTTGAAGGCTTGAAGCTTAATGGGCAGTCTTGAACGGGACCGCAGGAACGTCGCAGAGGTTTGTGAGAGCAGGGGATGGAGGGAGATGGGGGGAGAAAGCAAGCTACGGCGTTCGACGTGGTAGTGGTTGACCATCAAATCACGCCATACCGACGCACGTGGCATCGGAGTTTGAATGACTTCCAAAGAATTTCGCCCTCTCCAAGTCCGCTAAATCTTGAAATTCACTGTTGGTCAAATCCATCAGCCATATGGTTATCCTCTTTGTTTTCGGCCCAATATTCTCGTCAACTTGTTCAGCTCAATGGTTTTTGCTTTTACAAAAAAAAGCTGGCAGAAAACTGGCGGAACTTGCCAGCTCCGCCATACCCGCCAGTTGCGCCAGCTCACTGCCAGCTCCGCCAGACGAAAAACATTTTCCTGATGTCGACTCTCTGCTGTGCTGCGGCATTGTGAATGCCCCCTCGTCTCCTCACGTGCGTCCGTCTACCCCGGGTGGCGCATCTACCCGATCCTACACTGACGTCCTTCACCAAAGGGATTCATATGGTAACGAGCCGTCGTCGACCAGCGGACGGTCATCCTCGCGAAGGAGTTCGGAACCACTTCTTCTGAGGAAGGCGGGGGTTCGATTCCCCCCGATGGTATTATCCATTGTCCCTGCAGTTTTTTCTCTTCCTCTTGATTTTGTGTCTCTTTCTGCTTTCTTCATCTCTTTTTCCTCCACCTGAATCCGCAGAATACCGGAGCCGCCGGCAGTGGCGCGCGAACACCACCCTTGTTACAACTTAGTTTCCGCGGGAGACGGAGTTGGGGGTACGCAATATAGCCTTCCGTGCCCGATCAAGTCGACCGGACCGCCGTTCGTTTGGTTACTGGAATTTACCTATAGACCGAGGCTCATATGCGTAATCCCAAGGTCTAATTGCGGAGTGGCCCGCACCTGTATCGCGTATTGTGGGAGTCCCAGTGTACATGCAGGCGACGCCCGTTTGATTCGGGCTTGGACCGTCCCTGCTATCTTCAATTTTTGTTGGAGTCGGTTTTCGTTGGTTGATTATTCATCGCCTCTTTTGGTTCTGCCTTAACTTGGCGTGCTTATAGGGTATAAATCCGCCTTCTGGAGGATGGCATGTTGGATCCTAGGAACCAAGCTTTATATCGATGGAAGTTGGGGTTCGAGTCCAATTTCCAGACGAGCAAGCTATCGGCTAAGAGATGGTCTTGGACCCCTCCTCTCAATGAATTATCTGAGCCGCATTCACGACCATGACCAGTCTACGCCACATAAAGCCAGATACTTTCCCCTTTTATTCACCATGGTCGCATTGCCACAAGAGCTCGTCGACCATGAGTATCGCAGGAACCCGATAAGACATCGGCGAAACGTGGACGTTAACCGCTCCGATAGGCGCTTCACAAGCGCTCATTAGGCGCTCAACGAGCGCTAAGCTTACGTTCGATCCCACGACTGGGGCACCTCCTGACAATACAACAGACATCCCAGGATAAACTCAGACTTCTCTATAGCTCTCCGGAATCATTTTACTAGGAACGTCAAGAACAGTTACAGCAATCTTCCCTGAAGTGGCAGAGATATGCAGTACCACAGCCTTATGACAGGCATGTTGGGCTATGCCGGCATAAATAAAGTCTGGCTGACCACGAGACGGCCACTCTCTTCCCACTATCATCTCCCCCGGCCATGCACCACCCATTGACTCGCCAGCCGACCCGAGACAGTCTGCACAGCTGGTGGTCAGATAGGAACCCAGTGGGTCCGACGATCGATCTCCATGCCGCCGCGAAGCCATTGATGAGATTTATGTATCGACGCGACGCACTGGCCCTCATCGCCAGGAATCGCGGGATTCCCCTCTCAAGCGAGGATATGGACATTTATTCAAGCTATCTGGCGTACATTTTTCTTCATTGTTTCTGCACGTCCTGTGGCTGACTGATCTCGTAGTTATAAATATGTATCGTCGTCCACCAAGACCGCAATTCTAGTTGAGCTCGAGACTCGACTCGACTCTGAGGATGACGCCCGCGCCGTAGCGGATTCATTTGTCCTACATCTGGCCGATGAATTCCTGAGCTCGTCAGACACAGCGATCTGCAAGTCGATGTGCCGGATCCTGGGACTGCTGGCACAACGCGAAACAGCAATACCGGCCGTCTTGCGTTGGGCTCCATGTAAACAGCTGGTGTCTCTCCTATCGTGAGTCCCCACCCTTTCGCTCACACGCCGGCCTTCACCACTCGAAACCAGGGCCGTAGATATCGAAGTCGTCGTGGGCGCCGCGGAGACCCTGTCCTCGATTGCTAAATGCACCGAGGGCGCGCAGGCTATCGCGGATGCCAAAGTGTTCGACTCCTTTGCCAAGCTCCTTGAATCACCGAATGAAAAGGTCCAGAAATGGCCTCGTGAGATCATAGGGGAGCTCGTACGCCATGATACCACCGCCCGAGCGGCCACGGGCGCAATTGTATCCCTCTTGAGGTGAGTCTGGACCACCGCGCGCTGTAGGAAGTATTAATCCCCGGTAGGAGCAGGAATATTGCAGTGACGAAGTGCGCGGCCAACGTCGTGGATCACATCATCACTTTTCCTCTAGGCGCCCAGGCACTGGTCGCTGGGAATATCCTTGATGCCGTGGCCCCATTGCTTGACGATAGTCCAATGCGGGATAGTCAAATGCGGGATTGGACGTGTGGGATGCTGAAAATATTGGCAGCCGAGCCGGCCACAGTGACGGTCGTATCAGCACACCTGGTAGTGGTCTGCCGGTGAGCCCTACATTTTGGTTCGAGAACTGGATGTTTATTTTGACGTCAGTCACGGAAGTTCCGAACTCGTGGAGAGTGCGGCAGAAGTACTCAGTTCGATTTCTATATCACCGGGTGGTGCGCACGCTATTGTGGACGCAAATGTTCTGGAATGTGTCCATAGGCTCCTTCAATCGCCGAGCACTGGGGTCCGGAAATGGACATGTGACATGCTAAGACAGCTTGTGCACCACACAACGACGGCTGAAGCAGCAGTGGACCATATAGCTTATCTTTTGCGGTCAGCTACAACAATGATAAACGCAACTGCGTTAATTTCCTTTTAGGAGCAAGGATCCCAAAGTCGTCGAGAACGCGGCCAGGATATTGTATCAGTCAGCTGACTCGTTCGGGAGCGCGCAGGCTATCATGGACACCAATGTGCTACAATATGTGCCTAAGCTTCTCCAATCCCAGGAAGCTGGGGTCTGGCAGTGGACGTGGAGCCTGCTCGACGAGTCGGCGCGCCATGAGATCACTATGAGAGCAGCAGTGGAGCAGATGGTCTTCCTCATTCGGTGAGCCTCGACGATCTGGTGTGCAGCCAGATCAAGATGTTGATTATTTTCTGTAGCGGCGAAGATGTTAGGCTTGTTCAAGATGCGGCACATAGGTTGTGGCGGACTTCCAAATCGCCTGCAGGTGCGCAGGCTACCGTAGACGCAAAAGTGTTTGAATATCTGCCCGCTCTCGTTGAATCCCCGGACGTGTGGATCCAGAAGTGGACGTGGAACCTGTTGGAAGAGTTGGTTCGCCACGAAAGCACGGCCAGTATCGTCATTTGCGAAATAATATCCCTCTGTCGGTGAGTCCGAATTTAAACCATCTCATCTTGTTTGTGATTTTGGTTTGGGCAGAATTCCCGCAGTCACCAAGAGTGCCATACACATGCTGGATCATATCTTGACATCACCTCACGGTGCACAAACTCTGATGGATGCAAAGATCCTAGACTCCACCGATGTCCTACTTGTCAACAGTCAAATGCTGGATTGGACGTGTGAGATGCTGAAACGGCTCGCAGACCAGCCGTCAATGACGAAGCTTGTCCTGGAGCGACTAGTATTCCTCCTGCAGTTAGTCCCTATGTTTTCTTTTCGGGAGCAGGTCTTGACGTGCACACCAGTCCGGGAAATCTCGATGTCGTGATCGGCGCCGCCAAAGCGCTCAATTGGATTGCGAAATCGCCCGAAGGCGCGAATGTTGCCTTGGACGCAAATGTCCTGGAATGTTTCCCCGCACTGCTCGAATTACCGCATGCGAGGGTCTGGATAGGGACATGGGACATAGTGGAAACGTTGCTGCGCCATCAACTTGCAACAAAGCCGATCGCGCAATATATCGTATCCCTCTTCCGGTGGGTCTGAACAGGATCTGCAGGGTCAGGCGTTGTTGATTTTTTGCCTAGCGGCGGGAGGCTTACACAGACCAACTTGAAGCATGCTGCACAAATTCTGGGCGGTATCATCAGTGCACCTCAAGGTCATAAAGCATTGATGGATATAGATATGTATGGCTGTGTGGCCGTACTGCTTCAATTACCAAACAACGCGAGTCCGACATGGGACTGGATGTGGTGGAAGCTGCGGAAGGTCGCGTCCGAACAGTTTACCACGATAGCGGTTGTCGGTCAGCTAGTAGTGCTCTTGCGGTAAGTCTCCGTCACTTTCTTTCCTGAGCAGATGCTGACATTGAAACTAGTCACCACATATCTGATCTCGTACTGGGTGCAGCCAAAGTATTGTGTTCGATTGCGACATCGCCCGAAGTTGCACAGGCTGTCGTGGATTTGGACTGTGTCGTTAAACTCCTTGATTCACCAAACACTGGAGTGAAAGTATGGACGTGCGAGTTGTTGGCAAATGCAGCATTTCATCAGTCCGCGAGCGACCGTGTCTTGCCTGTAAGCCCTTGCATGCAGCTTGTATCCCTCCTACGGTGCGTCTCAATTATTTGCGATCTCCGAAGAAGGTCCTGATTTACGATCAGTGACCAAGATCCGGTCGTGGTTGAGAGGTCTGCGAGGACATTGTCTCGAATCGCCAGAGTCGAGGGGGGGGCCCAGGCTGTGGTCGACGCGGGGGTGCTCGACTGCGTGGGGGAACTGCTCGACTCCCCGAACACGATGGTCTGCCTTTGGGCCTCGCAGATATTGGGAGAGCTAGGACGCCATGAAGCCATTGTGCCGGCAATCCTGACCGTAAATCCCTGCCCACAGTTAATGTCCCTCGTGCGGTGAGTGTCTCTCTATAACGTGCGACGCTGTGTTCATACGAGCCAGGCACACTGCCGGAGCATCTGGGTCGACTTCGGACTATTGTCCGGTACGCACAGCAGCAATCTCTGCCCTGGCTAGAATCAGTGAATCCTCCGACGGTGCGGCCGCCGTCGCCGCCACACAATTTATGGTGGACGCTTCGGCCCTCACAGATCATGAGCTTCAAATAATTGCGAAGGATCTGGCGAGGAGCACGCACGGTCCGAGTAATACATGATCGAATGTGCCAGACCGTCTACAGTCCCCGCTCCTTGCAAAATCACTGCTCCTTGCAACAGTGGAAATCACATGGAAATAATGATTGAATGAATTCTCTGAGGGATTTACAGCTAGTTGCGGAACTTAGGGCGCGGCCGATTTTTTTTTCCATTTTGAGCTGTTTTTGATCCTTTTCACCAAATCAACTGCCCCGGCCTGAGTTCTTCACATAAGGCCATATAAACTAGATGGACAGGACCGCGCTGCGATTCCGCAGGGGGTGTCATCCCCCGATTCGTTATATTCGACTTTCTAAAAATGTAATATAGGATTCTGTAGTTTTTCCTTATATCTGGTCCTGCACGGGCAGACAAAGTTCAAATATGATATATAGTCATTCAATAATACCTTTGCACTGTGTGAAGGGGACCTCATTGTCCGAATGTGATTCCTGGACCGCAGACGCATAAAAGAAGCTGTTGAATCCAAAGACTTACAGTTTTGGAACTTCTTGCTCAGGAGTGCTGCCCGCTGTTGCTCTCTACCCCAGTGCGTGAAGTACAAACATCTGCGCCCACTAACCGAGGCTCCAGAGATTTTACACGACTCACATTTGCGGTATGTGCCCTAGTTCGACGACGCGACGCGCCCCCGTTTTGCAATCACGGGGTGTTACTCCACGTGCCTGTGATTGATTGTCCATAATGGGGCGCGTCGCGTCGTCGAACTAGGGCACATACTGCAAATGTGAGTCGTGTAAAATCTCTGGAGCCTCGGGTAGTGGGCGCAGATGTTTGTACTTCACGCACTGGGGTAGAGAGCAACAGCGGGCAGCACTCCTGAGCAAGAAGTTCCAAAACTGTAAGTCTTTGGATTCAACAGCTTCTTTTATGCGTCTGCGGTCCAGGAATCACATTCGGACAATGAGGTCCCCTTCACACAGTGAAAAGGTATTATTGAATGACTATATATCTTATTTGAACTTTGTCTGCCCGTGCAGGACCAGATATAAGGAAAAACTACAGAATCCTATATTACATTTTTAGAAAGTCGAATATAACGAATCGGGGGATGACACCCCCTGCGGAGTCGCAGCGCGGTCCTGTCCATCTAGTTTATATGGCCTGATGTGAAGAACTCAGGCCGGGGCAGTTGATTTGGTGAGAAGGATCAAAAACAGCTCAAAATGGAAAAAAAATCGGCCGCGCCCTAAGTTCCGCAACTGGCTGTAACATGCCCAACAGTGATGTCTATGCCTTCCCAGCACTTGCCACTGGCAATATATCCTCTGAAATCCCCACCAAGGATCAAAACATTTCTTATTTTTGGGTGGAGACAGGTTCCCCGGTCCTTGCAACAGAAAAATGGGCTCTGGAAACGGCACTGATCAGATATAGAATCATACATATCCAAATATGAACTGAATGGTATAGATCCACACCTTTCGTTAACCAGATGTGCAAAACATTGGCTGAGGACGAGGGAAAAAAAAATGTATTGCAAGGAGCGGGGATTTACTGTAGAAACACCGAGGATTATAATGCATACGAGCGAAATCAATTTTACTGATTTAAGTTGAAGTGCTGCACTCTGACGACGGAGTCGGTGACAATGAAAGGCGCCCACTTGCTTTGGAGACAGGGGTGGAGGCATGCAGGGTTCGCAAGGCCAGGACGAATTGACAGGGCTTCGGGTTTTCGGTAATCCATTCACCTACGAATCCAGGTTCGCTTGTATGATACCGAGCCCTCACCTTGCCTCTTTCAGTGCCTTTGATTCCGCTGCTCCGAGTAACCCAATTGCCAGCCAACATTCATCCCTGCATGGACTCCTCTAGCTTACGAAATTTAACCACCTATTCTACCCAGCCCGTAGGGTCCAATTGCGGAGTAGCCCGCACCTCTTCAATACATAGACGTATTCGGGTGCTTCAAGCCCCAACTCGAGGGTGTCTCCGTCTCACAATGATCGCGAAGGAAACGTGAGTGACTATCTTGTTCCTCGAGCTACTCATTTGTTTCAGTGTGCATTTCTGCTGGACGTGAATCCGATGTTAGTGTAAGTTATTATTCCGCGTGTTTTCTGCCTTCTCCTCGTCAGGTTCGCACATTTAGCGTTCCCCGCGCAACAGATCCAATCGCGGAGTGGCCAGCATCTGTAATTCGCGGAGAGGAGGCGCCCGTTCGAATTGGGCTTGGGGCGTGTGTAACTGGCGAGGGGATCTTTTTTTGGGATCATTCATGGACCTCATGTTCATGTGAGCTCAGGGATACTGAACCTCTTTCGGCTGAAATCCCAGTCTCCTGCTGAACTGCGACCTCCTGCTGAACTGCGACCCCGCGAGGCAAGCGTTTCTTGTGCGTAAATCCACCGTTTCTGGTGGGACTTGACTTCCAGAGGGTGTCCAGACATGTTGCAATTTCACGGCTAACCAGGGTCTTCCAGTCTTCAGGCTTCATTGCGCAGTGGCCCGCAAAAATATTTTGATGTTATTCTAGTGTTCGGGTGCAATTTGCAGGCGACACCTTTCCTAGAACGTTGACATCCTCGAACAGTTTAACTCGAATCCTGACACATCACCCCTCTCCAATATCTATCATCTATTATGTTCAATTGCCGAGAGGCCCTCACCCGCATCGTAGTCCATGACTACGAAGTCCGTGCAGGAGATATTATGCGTTCAATTCGGCCGTGCACCGCGTAATTCTTTCCATCGCTGGCCCTCGAGATCAATCCGGCTCATTTTTCATTTTCAACTCAAAGGACTGTCGAAAATGTGCCAATGTAACCAGGTTCTGTTGCACGCCAGCATGGTCCAATTGCGGAGAGGCCCGCGCCTGCGTCAGCTGGAAAGTAGATGAATGGGACTGCACGTGCAGGAGACGCCCGTTCGAGTCGGGCTTGGACCTTATTTTCGTTTTGTAAAAAGTTTTTTCTTTGTCTCATTGAGCCATGCAGGTCGTGCCACGTTTGCGTCGTGCTTCGGGCGCCAAATGCTGCGATTGGGAATTTCTACAGCATCCCCGTTGCTCCATTCAATACCCAAACTTGAACAATTTCCAAGGGGTACCCAGAAGTTGATACAATTTTCCTGTGTTCAGAGCATATTCGTGAGTCAAAAATTCAAATTTTGGCACTTTAGTAAACTTGCGAACTTCAACTCGCCTGAGCGTCGACGGGGGCCAAATACGTAGTGTCGTCATGCCGGTGGGATTGATATTGGGCTGAATATGTTCGGAGGTCAAATGCAGGGTGACAAATGGCGCTTCCGTCATACACCCACGTGGCAGAATCCGGATCAAAGCCGAGCAAAAGCCCGCTTGGCTCCCGCCCACCATGATCTCGTCTGCACCTCGCGCGCCCCCGGTCCTGCGCATTCAAGCTCTTTGAGCCTAAACCCGGCCTCTGTAACACGCGCTCATGCTCCGTCTGCCGAGATCGAGCGCGCGTCGCCCGATGCCAGTGATCATGGCGCACCGCGGAGGTGCCACCTTTCCTTCGGCGGCGAGGATGAACACAAAGGCTTCGGTATAGAACTCCCAAGCGCCCCTCGCGTTATCCCTTGCCTTCGCAGTTAGCACTATTGGTTATTAGATCTGCGCCGATACTCGGGCGCAGGGAGGCGGCGTCGACGTGCGGCGTGTAGCGTGGGGCCACCCGACGTGCCGCCCGGCCTGTGGCTGGATCAGGTGCGCTCGGCACCGCGCGCTCCGCCGTTGCACTCGTCGAATGCCGCTTTCCACCGTGCGCTCCGCATCCTACGCTGGCGCCCCGTACGAACCTTGCCCTCGTCTCAGCTCCCTGGCTCCCTCGCGCGCTCCACGCGCGCTGCGTCGCCGTAGATGCCGTGGTACGGCCTCGCTAGCCTGGGGCCCATTCGTTCTCGTTTCTTCCCGCCCGCCGGTTGGTTTCCCGCGGCGAACGCAATTTCACACTGACAGCCTTCACTCGCGGCGGTATGCATACAGTAACAAGCCGTTGTCGACCAGTGGACGAGCATCCTCAACATGTTGCGTTACCTCTTGTACATCCGAGGAAGACGGGGGTTCGATTCCCCCCGCCGGTATCATACGATTCGACCAATTTTTTGTTTTGTTTTGGCTGCGTCTCTTGCTTCGACCTGGAGGCCGCACCAACGCTCGCGACACCCCCGTCGCCTAGGAGCCAGTCATTCGTGCAACGGAATTTCGATGCCAGGACGTGTGGTCCTGAAATTTACCCGTATGCCGAGACTCACCTGCTTGATACCCAGCTTCAATCGCGGAGCGGCCCGCACCCGCCCCGGAGCATGTGAATCCATGAAGTCCCCTGCAGGCGTCGCCCGTTCGCTTCGGGCTTAGCTTGAACCCGGAGATGTGACATTCCGATCTCTTTTTATTACGTGGCTTTTCAGATTCAGCAGCATCCTCAGGTTGTCCTCGGGCCCGGTTACAGAAATCGTACGATACTCAATTTTGTTTATTGAATGACTGAGAGGTCAGCAACAATGATCCTTCGGATGTTCCACTGGATCCCAAATTGATGCCAGTAATAGGCCGCCGTCCACAGCCGTCCGCCTGCCCAATGCTGATGCAGAAATACGGCATGAAATCCATGATCCTGCGGATATTCCACTGGATCCCAAATTGATCGCCGTTGGCCCGCCCATTGTTGATGCAGAAATATGGCATGAAGGCGTACTCTAACTCGTCGTGCGGAAATTGCATGGAATATGGGCCTATAACCAACGTACCATCAATAACCCGCGGTCGTCGTCAACAAAAATGTTCAGTTTTATCGAAGTTTCACTGTATGTAACAGTAAGATTACCAAATTCTTTTTAGCTTTGTCTTCTCCGATCTCGATGCAATTCAACCTGACGGCGCCGAAGGGTAATCCTCGTGACCGAGCGGCCCTTTAACTTGATGACCTAGCGGCACCTTAGGATTAGTTTCTATCTCTCCGCCGACTCTCACTCACTCTTTTCCCCCTCCCTCCCTCCCGCCCATGGAACCTGAACTGGCCCCAAAGATCATCGCTCTCAACCATGAGCAGGAACAACAGGTCCACGCGCTGGCTCAGTCAATGTCCCGCGAAGAGTCCGCGTCCGTCACACACCTTCCCACCCCGGCGCAAGCCACAAGCCGCATGTCCCACCACTCGAAGTACATCAACCCGTTCGATGGCACGGAAGGCGACGAAGCCCTCGACCCCCGGTCGGAAAAGTTCGACATCAATGCCTGGCTGAAATCCGTTATGCAAATCGCGTCTCGCGATCCCGAAAACTTTCCCGTGCGTCTTTATTTGTGCCGAACGACTCAGCGAGTTCAACCCGGACGCAGACTAGATCGGCTGGTGTCACCTTCCGCAACCTCAACGTTCACGGCTTCGGGTCACCCACGGATTACCAGGTCACCTTCGGCAATATCTGGCTCGGCGCATTTTCGACCGTCAAAGGGTGGCTTGGCATGGGATCTGGGTTACGCAAAATCCGTGCGGTGTTCATTCTTCTCTCCTGAGAATGCAGCTTACACTGGATGCAGAAATCTTGCGTGATTTTGATGGAATCGTGAAATCAGGGGAGTTGTTGGTCGTGCTCGGACGTCCCGGAAGGTGAGCGTAACGAGGTGTGCGCCGATTCCTTGATATTCAAGTTATATTAGCGGTTGCTCGACGTTCCTCAAGACAATTGCCGGTGAGTAATCTTATTCCCGCTACCTTTAGGTAAGGGTTTTAGGGCGCCCTATCAGTACGTCCTGCAGTAAATTCCGATTTTCGTCATCCGTTTTTGCATAAGCACGGTCAACTGTATTGTGTTCGTAATTTCTCCTCCGTAAGCCCTCCGTGATCTCGGCCGATTCGACGTGGCGTCTTCCATCATGGCTCCTCATGCTACCTTTCGCAATCTGCCCCTTTCAACTTCTTTTAACTCTGGACTGGAGAGGTCTGTCTTGTCTCTGGACAGGGTCTTAAGTGCTGGCATCCCCACCTCCCATTCTATGGCCCATGGTCTCTTGTCACAGCCTTGCATGGACAGCCCCCTTCGTTGCATGAATGTTCAGCTGTCCACACAGGCTTCTCTCTTCTGTGATCTGGTTCTGGGCCGCGACTGGATGTTTTACCGCTGTAATGCCTTCCCCAATACTCATTTTGTGTTCAGCTCTGGATCTGTCCATATACACCCCCTTCCATGTATTTACTCTTGCTCTCTGCCTTTTCTGCTCTTGTTCACCTAATATCCGCCGGTAGGTTCGTTCATTTATGCTCCTCACACCGCTGTGTCTCACTTCCTCTTAGGCCCTCCATTCTCCTGTGCCTGTCATGACCATTCTGTGCCTGGATGTCATTCGACATCTACTACTGCTCACGTGCATGGACCCACTGCCCTCGCAGCTTCACTCATTATCCTTCGTGATATTTTTGCTATGCATTATTGTACTAATTCGCGTATTTCTATATTTCATTCTGATTTACCTACGATTAGAACTGCTCTCACCCTTCATACAATACCTCACCATGACAAGAATCTCCTTCAATGTCGTCAAACTTTAATTCATCATCTTGTTACTGGTGCTTGCGTTCACATAAATCTGATGTCTTCCCTGATTCCAACCTCGATCGTTTGACATGTGCAGCAATAGCACAAGAGTTTGATTCTCCAGCGTCCATGGCCACTGATGTTCTCGATATTGTTGTTGCTGCTGATCACAAGAAAATTTCACTGCAATATTGCAGCCGCTTTGGACATCACTCCGTCCGGCTCATGCAACCTCCGCTTCAAATTGAGAGGAGCAATGCGCAACCACCTACAGTCTTTGCAATAGACTTCCGTGGAAAGTTGTTCTTCAGCATGTGTGGGTGACTTTTCCAACTCGTTTGAGGCCCATCTAAAGTCTGTGTTTCTCTCTATCACTCCTTTGCATCGTGTTCAACTGCCTGCGAAGCCAAGTACCGAAACAATTCGAACAGAGATTACCAAGCACATACTTCACGGACAGTGTACTCAGTGTTCTCATTCGCACCCACCATCTACGCTTCCGCCGGATGTATCTATACCTGACTGTGTAGATATCTGTAACAAATGGGAGGCAAATAATACTGACCCTGACCTCCAAGTACATATACTAACAGCAATCTATGGAAGTAAGAGATCTCCCAATGCCATGCGACGCATTCTCGACATATTAACATCCACCACGACCCTTCTGGATCAATCAAGACATATCGCAAACAACTTTGCGCAAAGGCAAACGAGTCGAACGCGAATGGAACAGCCGGTAGAAACTGACACCATCACTCGATTCAATGAACAGCTATAGAAAATCTGCGAGTCTTGGCCTCAGCTTGGCCCTCAATCGCTGAAGGCGTTGTAAACATACTTATCATCCTTTCCCTGGATTCTCATAGACACCGAAACCTCTCGGACAAGTCTCGGAAGGGCTCGATACTTAATTGGAGGATCTTGCTTTCAGCCCAGCTTGCTTTTGAGAACTCAGGATCTCCTCATAATTCATGATAATATTAAATGATTCAAACCCATCCCGCGGCTCACACCCTGCCGCGAGGAGCGAGCACAGTTCGGCGACGAGTGGCGAGGAGGCGGCACTTTAAATTTGTTCAAGAAACCCAAAGAAATGGTGAGGGCCACGAGGAGCGAACGCAGTTCGGCGACGAGCGGCCCGAGGCGGTGGTCCAACGAAACATCATTTCTGTATAAGCCAAGCTGGTAGCGGGCTGTGCCGCTCGTCGGCCCTATCCGCTTTATTTCATTTATAAGAATAACCATTGACTCGGTTTGCAGGTGAAACGCATGGTTAGTAGTCCGCGACTTTGGCCCAAATTCGACTTTCGACAATTTTGTCTTTAGGCTTTTATGTGGACTCAGCGGCGGATATCCAGTACCAGGGAATTCCCAAGGAAATCATGCACAAGGATTTCCGCGGAGAGGTCATCTACAACGCTGAGACCGACGTGCACTTTCCGCATCTGACCGTCGGCCAGACGCTCACCTTTGCCGCCAAGGGATTCGAGAACCGAGTACCCCGTACGGCCGATGAGTTCGCGCGCGTTTGGCGAGAGAGTGCGGAGTACCAGACACTGCTTAAGGATATCGAGGCGTATAACGCAGAGTATCCCCTTGGCGGGGAGGCCCTGAACAAGTTCAGGACGTCGCGGCAGTTGCAGCAATCCGAGTCGATGTGTGTCGTTCAATGTTAGGCCTCGTTCGGCTCACTCACCGCCGTACAGAAGCGCCAAGTCTCCCTACACCCTCTCTGTGCGCCGGCAGATTACGCTGTGCATGGAACGCGGGTTCCAGCGGCTCCAAAACGACCTGACCAACTTCTACACTACTGTCGGTTCCGCTCGTTGTTGCTTGTTGGTGCCGCCCCTGACATGCATCCCATAGGTCCTCGGCACTTTCTTCCTGACCCTAATCATCTCCAGCGTCTTCTATAACCTCCATGACAGCACGTCGAGCTTTAATAGCCGCGGTTCTCTCCTGTTCGTTGCAGTTCTTATTAATGCCTTCTCTAGTTCTCTTGAGGTTCCTTTCTCTGCCGCCCGCTTGCACATCGTACTCAAAACAAATGTTCCAGATTTTTACTCTATACGCCCAACGTCCCATAGTCGAAAAACACACCGCTTATGCGCTCTATCATCCGTAAGCCAGTCTATGAACATGTTCTTGGGCCAACACTGACCCTCATCTAGTTTCGCGGAGGCCGTCTCCTCGATGATATGTGATCTGCCCGCTAAACTGCTAACGGCGACCGGTAAGCCCCACGCCTCCTTGTGTACCGCCCGCCTCATTATTGGCCTGCAGTCGTCAACCTCACGATCTACTTCATGACCAACCTCCGGCGCGAACCCGGCGCCTTCTTCATCTTCTACCTCTTCTCATTCACCTGCACACTCGCCATATCCATGATCTTCCGAACGATCGCGTCGACGTCGCGCTCGCTAGTGCAGGCGCTCACCCCGGCAGCGGTATTAATCCTGGGTCTGGTCATGTACACAGGGTTTACGGTACCCGTGCGCGACATGGTGGTCTGGTTCCGCTGGATCAATTATATCAACCCCGTAGGGTATGCGTTCGAGGCCCGTGCGTTGTCTTTCCTTTGTTTCTCTTTCAGAAAAGTCTGACGACCCGCGCCTAGTTATGGTCAATGAGTTCGTCGGGCGCACGTACCCCTGCGGCACATTCGCGCCTGCCGGCCCTTCGTACCCTAACGTCTCCGCCACGAACAAGATCTGCGCCACGCCCGGCGCCAAGGCTGGCGCTGACTTTGTGCTGGGCGCGGACTACGTCGAGACGTCCTTCAGCTATGTGCAAAGCCATCTCTGGCGCAACTTTGGCATCCTCATTGGCTTCATGGTGTGTCCCCTCTTCGCTGGTTTTCTTGTTTGCTATCGTGAACTGAGAATACATATCTCCAGATCCTGTTCTGCGCCGGGCACCTCATCGCGACGGAGTACATTTCGGCGGTCAAGTCCAAAGGCGAGGTCCTTGTCTTTAGGCGCGGCCATCTTCCGCCTGCGCACGCGGCAGACGACGAGGAGAGCTCGACGCTGAAAGAGAAGCCGCTGTCTTCGCCTACGAGGCGGCCCGAGGACGTCAAAATTCACCCTCAGCAGATGATCTTCCTCTGGAAGGACGTGTGCTACGACATCAGGCTCAAGGACGGCTCGGACCGCCGCCTGCTCGACCACGTCGACGGGTGGGTGAAGCCGGGGACTTTGACTGCCCTCATGGGTGTTTCGGGCGCCGGTACGTGTTCCAGTGTGTCTGCTCCCTCGTGAGGACTGACCTAGTGTGTTTATGTGCAGGGAAGACGACGCTGTTGGACGTGCTGGCGACGCGGACGACGATGGGCTTCGTCTCTGGGGAGATGCTGGTCAACGGGCAGCAGCGGGACCAGTCGTTCCAGCGCAAGACCGGGTACGTGCAGCAGCAGGACCTCCACCTGGCGACGGCGACGGTCCGCGAGTCGCTCGTGTTCAGCGCGCTGCTGCGCCAGCACAAGTCCATCCCCAAGGAGGAGAAGCTTGCATACGTCGAGGAGGTGCTAGCCCTGCTTGAGATGGAGCCGTATGCCGAGGCCATCGTCGGCGTCCCTGGGGAGGGCCTCAATGTCGAACAACGCAAGCGCCTCACGATCGCGGTCGAACTTGTCGCTAAGCCGGAGCTTCTCGTCTTCTTCGATGAGCCCACCAGCGGTGAGTAGTACGTCGATATTCCCATAGGGGTAGAGCGCTGAATACGCACAGGACTGGACTCGCAGACGGCATGGTCGATCTGCCAGCTGATGCGCAAGCTCGCGAACCACGGACAGGCTATCCTATCGACTATCCACCAACGTTGGTGTTTTTAATTTTCAGTACCTCGATTTAATCTGAGTTCAATTGCAGCGAGCGCCATTCTGATGCAAGAGTTTGACAGACTGGTCAGTATTGTTATTGCCCGAAGCGTCTCCTCTCTGACCGTCTTGTCTAGCTTTTCCTGTATGTTACCTGGTCCGCGCCTAGGTTGTCTCTGACTTGTTTTATGCAGGGCACCGGGAGGAAAGACGGTGTACTTTGGCGAGATCGGCGAGAATTCCAAGGTGCTCACCGGCTACTTCGAGAAGTACGGCGCACACCCGTGCCCGCCGGAGGCAAATCCGGCAGAATGGATGCTCGAAGTTATCGGGGCGGCGCGCGGTTCAAAGTCCATTCATGACTGGCCGGAGGTCTGGAAAACCAGCGAGGAGCGGGAGCAGGTCCGGATGGAGTTCGACCGGATGGTGGCGGAGCTGTCCAAGATCGAAGACAGCCGCGACTCGGCGGCCGGCTATGAATTGTTTGCAATGCCCCTCTCGACGCAGTTGGGGGAATGTTTCAAGCGTGTTTGGCTGCAGTACTGGCGCACACCGACGTATATCTACTCCAAACTCGCCCTAGTGCTACTCTGCTCGCTCTTCATTGGCTTCACGTTCTACAAGGCGCACATCGACTTGCAGGGATTGCAGAGCCAGCTCGTATGTTATCCCTCTAGTTCCGCCCGACGCTAGCTAATCTTGGAGTGTCGTAGTTCTCCATCTTCATGCTCCTCATTCTTTTCACCAATCTCACCCAGCAAATCATGCCTCTCTTCGTTGAGCAGAGGTCGCTGTACGAAGCCCGGGAACGTCCGTCCAAGGCGTATTCATGGGTCGCGTTCCTCGTTGCCCAAATTCTTGTCGAAATACCCTGGCAAATACTGGCAGCAGTCCTGACATTCGTCTCCTGGTACTACCCCATCGGCATGTACCGCAACGCCATTGCCGTCCATCAGGTCAAGGAACGTGGCGCTCTCATGTTCCTGTTTATCCTCCAATTCATGCTCTTCACCAGCGGTGTTAGTGACTCCTGCTTGGTTTTCTCCTTGACTAAGCGTCTGTCGATAGTTTGCTCAGATGGTTGTAGCCGGTATAGAGACTGCAGAGACAGCGGGAAATGTGGCCGTTGTGCTGTTTTCGTTGACCCTCCTCTTTTGTGGTGTCCTCGCGCCCCCGAGCACGCTCGGGTGGTGGGTGAGTACTTGGGCTTTTCGGATGAACAGCCTTTGATTACGATGCTTGATGCTTAGGTGTGGATGTACCGCGTCTCGCCGTTCAGTTACCTCGTAGGCGGCATGCTCGCCACCGCAGTTGCTAACACAGAAGTCCATTGCTCGAGCATCGAGCTCCTCATCGTCGACCCCGCAGGCGGCCAGAACTGTGCACAATATTTCGCGCCGTACATGGAGCTCGCGGGAGGATCTCTCCTGAACCCCAACGCAACAAGCGCCTGCGAACGAAAAAAATCGGAGTTCCTCCTCCGGAGGAGGAACTCACACAGAATCGATGCAGAATCGACAGTTTTGAATCATTTATCACATCTGATTTTTGATGAAGGAAGAATCGACGCGTGAATCGATGCAGAATCGAAGGCGGAATCGGGGCGGTCAAAGTTGGATTCGATTCTGGTCCGATTCTGAGCTCAGAATCAGACCAGAATCGAAGTCAGAATCGACCCGGAATCGACCCAGAATCGGCCACTCTGACTTCCCCTATTATCATCGCCAATTTTGTGAAAGGTTACCGGAGCATTTCTGATTGACACAGGTGTATTTGCTCGATTTGTGCATCTATTCTCATCAAGCTTTCATACCTGAAACTGCACACATCCAATTCCAATAAATTACACCAATTGAAGTTTACCGTTGCACCTGGGACGCAGGCCGCTCTATTTGTGTAATTTTCCCCAGTCTCGGCAGCGCCTCACTGCTAAGCAGGGCATTCACATCCACCCGTGCGTGGACCCCTTTTTCTCACGAAAACTTAACCATGTATTCAGGCTCGACTCAGAGTTGGTAAGGTCCAATTGCGGAGTGGCCCGCACCTGCATTGCGTGAGGGATGAGGAAATGTCCGTGCAGGAGACGCCCGTTCGATTCGGGCTTGGACCGTGCGCGCCAAATCATTGAGTACATTTTTTCCCAGAAAATGCATGGTGCGCTGGCTCGAGGAATCTGGAACTCCTCCTCCGAATTAGATCAATCCGAGTCTACGGGTGCGTCAGCGCTGCTTCAAGTACACAGCAACTCGCACCATATTCAGCAGACTGAATGTGTCGTTTTAGGTGCAGAGCCCTCATCCATTCGATCCGTGAATCTGAGTGAAGTTTGTCCCCCAGCAGGCAGCCCAGAATCTCCCACTGCACCGCGTAGTTGACTACCGCTCAATATCCGTCCGTGCGTGGAGTCCTTTCGCTCATAAAAATTTCACAAGGTATTCATGTTCTTCTCAGCACTTTCAAGGTCCAATTGCGGAGTGGCCCGCGCCTGCATTACGTACACGAATATCACCGTGTGATATGCAGGAGACGCCTGTTCGATTCGGGCTTGGACCATATTTTTTCATTTTGTTGAAAGTCCCCGCCGCCATTCAGACATGGATGCCGTGACCCTTTCGCGACTCAGTAGCGTCTTGGGGTGCAGCGATCTGGGCATTTTTATTGCATCCCCATTGCATCTCGTTGTTACACACCAGCACACTTTGCACACCAGCCAATCTGAAAATTCTCCGGTCATACAATGTCCTCGCAGTTTATTCGTGAGCTAGTAAAGGGACAGGAATTACTGCCTTGAGAGGTGCAGGCTTGTGCAGGAGGGATTAATCTCGGGTTGAATGTGTTCGAGCATCGTGACAAATCGGGCTTCCGTCATACACCCACGCGGGAAAATGTACGGATCAAGCCGAGCCCTGCTTCTCACCACCACCATCTCAGATTCTCGCTCTTCGCGCGCCACCCTGCACATCCAAACGCCTTGTGCCCATGCAGTCGAAACCAACGTGTCGAGAGCGCTCAATTGTTGCTCTGCCGAGATCGAGCGTGCGTCGCCCGTGACGCACCACGGGAGGAGCCACCTTTCCGTCCGCGAGTCGTGCGGCGGTGAGGATGAACACAGACGCTTCGATATGGAACATTGAATTCCCAAGCACCCCTCCTCGCGTCATCCCTCGCCTTAGCCCAAGTTAGCCTCATCGGCTAAGAAGACTGCCGCCGGGCAGGTCAATGATGCCCGCGCACCCCTCTGGAGTGCCTTCGCCACCGCCCCCCTCGTCCGCACGCTTTCACGTCCCACCTCGCTCTTACGTGCCGCGCTCCACCGCTGCGCTCGCCGCAATGGCGCTTCCCACCGTGCGCCCCGCATCTCGCGCTCGCGCCGCGTAGGAGCCTCGCCTTCGTCTCAACTTCCTGGCCGCCTCGTGCTCTCCACGGCCGCTGCGTCGCCCTGCACGCCCACGCCCGATCTCGCTAGTGGGACACGTCCAAGTTGAATTCTGCCCCTGATTAGTTTCAACCCCGCAGCGAACCAATCCTATACTGGCAGCACTTCACTCAGGGTATCCACAGGGTAGCACGCCGTCGTCGACCACTGGAAGGTCATCCTCCTGATTTATACGGAAGCACTTCTTACGAGGTAGACGGGGGTTCGAGTCCCCTCGACGGTATGAGCCTGCTTTCGATCTTTTCTTTCTGCATCTCTTTCCGCTGTGTGCGTCTCTTCCGATTTTCTGCGTCTTCCTACTCCGCAGAATGCCGAAGCCGTGCGAGTACCGCCCTGCCCTTTTGACTCCCGAGGAACACCGGAGGTTGGGGTACAGTATAATCTTAATATTCTTGCGTGTTAGGACCTCCGTTCAGTTGGTCCCTCAACTTTACGCTAAACCCAGGCTCAGCTGTATAATACCCAGCCTCAACGCTCGTGATTCGGCTTGACCCATGGGATGGGGGCTTTTTCTTGCCTGACGTTTTAGATTCGGTAGCAGCTAATGTCCCTCGAGCTCCGTCCTTAGGCCCCATGCACTGTGGCACAAATTCAATGGGGATTATCACTCCAGGTAGGTCCGCCCGCTCCCATTTATTCAGGCTTAACTCCTCACACTCCTCGCTATTCAGGTCCCATTACAGTGTCCACACCACGCATGCCGTCCTTTCGCTCATACGCAGGAGGCGCCCGTTCGATGCGGGCTTGTTCTCCCTTCAAGGTCTTTTTTTCTGGCTCACATTCTTGAGATCAATGAGCGCCCCAAGTCATTCATAGCCAGCCAGGTGCGTCCCCTTCGTCAAATCTACGACCTAATCTAATTGTAACAGTAATTCCCTGAGGTTCCTCGTGATCTTTCACTTTCGTTCTTTGGGCGCCGGAGGACTTCACATGTGCATGTACGTACGTACGGTCGCCTTCGCCTCTTTGACTTGGCCACGCTGACGAGGCTCACTTCCGCACTCGCCAACTCCAATTACGGAGGGGGCGCATCTCCTATTCGGGCTTTGTGCATAAGCATGCATGTGGGAGACGCCCGGGCGATCCGGGCGAGGTTCGTGAGTCTGGCGAGGAGTGTTCTTTTGCGTGTCTTCTGTCGTCTGGTCTGCAGGAACTCTGGATTCAAGGGCGAAATGGCACTAAATCCGCATGCTCTGCGCGCCTGTGCATCCGACTCTCCCCCTCCAGTTATCCGGTCTTCTACCCTATGCACGTCCAACTGCGGACAAGCCCGCACCTGCATCACCGGTGATTTGGATGACGCCGATGTACGCAGACGACGTCTGTTCCATACTGTCTTTGACCGTCATTAACTGTAGTGCGAGTCCTTCTTTCTATGTATGCTTAAACTCAAAGGCGGCGGGGCCACGTATTCACTCACGGACACGCCGCCTTTTGCAGGCTGTACTGGCACTCTCCGAGCCCCGTATCGAGGTTTTGATTAGTATCCCGCCGGCGCTCCCTCTGTAACCGTGCCCGCCACCGGATGTGAATTTCCCAGCTAATCAGGTTCAGTTATAGACCAGCAAGGTCCAATTGCGGAGTGGCCGCCCTGTGGACTAAGCAACTGTCGTGCACGAGACGCCCGTTCGATTCGGGCTTGGACCGTATCATGGGTAAGACCTTTCGTTTTCTTTTCCTTTTCTGCTCACTGGCGACGCTGAGCATCGCGAATGGGTCGCCACTCGCTGGAGGAAGGTAGGCCTTCCCTGCGCCGCAGCACAAGCTTCTACCTTCTCAGATTCACGACCATTTTCTCTGTTCGGTTCAGATTCGGAACAGTCGATTCTTTCAACGCCCGCGAGCACCATCTTTTTTTCCTTCCGAGGACTCCGGGGGTTTGGTGGTAAGTAATAGTCTTCAGAGTCAATCGCCAGGTTTTCCGTCCACGGTAATCTATGTCTTTGAGCGAGGCTTATCTGTTGGATACCCAGGTTCCCTGCAGCATATGATATCCTTTTATCACTGCGTCTCAGATAAGGCGGGCCTCAATCTCAGTCCATCGCACTGCGTTCAGGGGGTCCGTCGGCAGAGCCTCTGTCGACCCCCCGTCGGCAGATGTCGGCAGACCTGGACGTCGACATTCTCCTCCGACGTCTCCCTCGGTTCAGAAGCCTGCACTGAGTCTCGAACTACACATTACCTCGACTGAATTTGCCCTGGCTGTGAGTGCCGTGAGTTGCCGCCATCACTTTGATCCCCTCCGGTGATGGGGGAAGTAGCTGATGTCAGCTTTGTCATGGATCATAGTGTCGTAAGTCCTCGGCAGGTGGGAAATTTGGGTGTATCTTGGGCAAATTTTCCCCCTGCCGAGGACTCACAACACTGAGATCCAGGACAAAGCTGGCAAATGGGGCAAGGCTGTTCTGCTCAAAACAAAGACCTGTCTTAGAGACCACAGCCACCTTACAAACACAAAGACTGTCAAGGAGTAGTTCAAAGACGTAAGATGTCAAAGACAAATGCATTGTTTTCCTCATGTTTACAGTGAAAGATCACCAAGATTACTAGGAAATAAATTTATGCATTTTTTGTATGTAAGTTGATTTCAGTCATAATTTGATCAAATGATCAAAGACAAGTGCCGACCACATGCGTAGGTCGCACCTGGTGGTCAGGTGCCTTGGTCTTTGCCCCTGGTGTGAAGTCCTCCAATTTTTTTTTTCACTTTTATGATATGACTTACAGTTTGCCCGTGCAAAAAATGCGGCAGCCGCAAGCTAGAATTTCAAAAGCATCTGAATTTTTGTGGAAATTATCGAGGTCATTTGAGCGCACTGGGAGTCCCTTGGACATGCCCAGCCCCATCCCGCCCCTCGCCATCAGCCGCCATCACTGATGGGCTTACAAATCTCGGAGGTTGCTGAATAGCTGCAGCCCGGGGTACTGCCAGCAACCGGGTTGCTGAATAGAATTATCCGTTCAATATATCCCTTTCCTTCTCTTGCCTTTTGCGAACCTCCGGTCAAAAGTTTCAAAGTCATGGAATTTAGGTAAAGATTGGGTAACGTCAGACGTGCAGAAAAAATCGGGTTTCCAGGTTGTTCCCCGGAATACAGTCGGAGGGTGGCAAGTCCGTTCCTTTCCTCCTACTCGCGCACCTACATTTTACTCTCGCACAGGCGCCAATTACGAGACCCCACCCGGGGCCACAACGATTGTTATCCTCGGTGTTATTACCCTCCCGAGCCGCAAGGACGCGATTGTCGCCGGGGGCCCAATCCATCCGGTTTACATACAGTCCCGCCTGCATCGCAATTCTCGAAACCACAAGAGAGAAAGGAAGAAATCCACAGCAGCGTTTGGGTTGGTCTGGCAGCACACCAGCTGTCTCAGACATGATTCAGCGCTAGAGCGCACAGGTCCGGAAATCCTCGCCTTCAGTTCGCCAGCGTCACAGAAAGAGGCCACAACCCGTGCGAGGCTGCGAGCTTCGAGGCGGAATGGCTTGGCGCGATGTAAACCACGCGGTATTCACTTTGTTGACCGACCCAAGGCATCGTTTGGCATTGCTCTGCACCGGGAGGCTGTATCAGTCGTTTGTGCGGCTGAGTGCTCGCATGCGCTGCCTTGGTGGTGGCCCACCAGCGCCATGACTTTCAGTGACAGTCAATGTCTAGATCGTCGGCATTCATCGTCGCCGGGGAATCGCCGGGAGGCTATGTGATAGTATGTGTCGCCTAACTGATTGCTGACCAACTGGTACGGAAACAGTCTAATTCCGTCCAGGGGTGCTGGATTGACTGGCCAAACGCAAGGCTACTTTTCGAACCTATAAAGGTTGGCGTCGTGGTCATGCTCCATATTCCTCTTCGCTCGGCTGGTCCACTTTTCTTGTCTTTTCTTTCTATCCATTCCCTTTACGCCTTTATTTCTTTTCCCCCTCGTTCATCATGCACATCCCGTTCTCCGTGTTCTTGTCTCTGGCGCTCGCATTGCCGACACTAGCGGCCCCCATGGTCTATGGCAATAATACCGAGGTATTTAATGTCTTGGCAGATGCATGCTAATGGAGGAAATGAACACTGGATCTACAGGCCGTCTCAGCACCCACGCCGGAACAGAGAATCGGAGTTTT